GTAATTGTCGATATTTAGCTACTTTATCATGGTGACCTGAAAGAGAAAATCAAACGAATAAATGTAATATTTATTTTTCTTTCTTCTGATTCTTACCTTCTTGTTGACAACGAGTTATTATTCTAGTTAAATAATGAATACGATCAGTAAAAAATTTATATAAATAATGCATTTCATCATCGATCATTGCTGTTGGACTACCTGCATAATCTAAATAGATAATCCATGGAGAAAAAAAAAAACATCTTTAAGAATTATCTTCATGTTTAATATTTGTAAATAATATATAATATATTTGTTGAAAGATTTTCTTGTGTCATATAGTTCACTAGACATTTCTTGTTTTATTTACGAAAGCGACTGCAGACAATAAATTTAATCATTTTTTAATGAATCTGATGTGATATATAGAAAAAAAAAACTGTTCGTTTAATATAGAACAAATAAATTTATTCTATTATTTAAACTAATAAACAACGTGGTTTTCAATATTCAAATATACTTTAAATGATATCTTGCTTTATTTTTGCGTTTATAACATGACACAAAAAAAAAGGACATCAACCTTCACTGTATGTAATTTCAGTTTTAAAAAACTTTGCATCGAGATAGAATCTTTGAAAACTAAACAGTGCATTTTGTACACAGCTTCTGGGGCTACAAAGCCTTTATCCAAAGCGTTTTTGAAAATTCCTAGATTTTTCAAAAAAAAAAAAAAAACATTTTTCGTTACTAGCGTCAGAAAGTTTCCTCAGAGTCTGATCTTGGTAAAAACTTCATTATAGATAGGATTCATATCACACTTTATCCTGATGTTTTCAGATATTTTTATCTAAAATAGCCCAGATAGGAAAGTATCAAGAAAAAAAGTGAATCTTAAATCATCTTACTCATCATATTCATTGGAGACATTTGTGGACGATAGATACTATTTTGGGGTGATTGGGCCATCATATAACGTGCTAATGGACTTTGACCAGGTGGTCCTATTGGTGTTTGTGGTTGTTGCATCATCATACCAGGATGAGAATGAGGTGATGGAATATTACCAATCATCATTGGATCAGCACCTCTGAAAATACGAATAAACATTAGAAAATTTTTTTAATCCTAATGAAGATATTCTGATTTACGGTGTCATTGGGCTAGGTGGTGGTTGTTGAAGAACTTGAGATGTTGGTAAGGATGAGTTACGAACAGTTCGATTGATCTAAAAATAAAAATGTTATTAAGATTAGACTTAGTTTTATTCTCTACATACAGTACGTAGTCTTGCTTGTGCAACATTTTGAACAGCATTTGAAGGTTGTTTAGGTGGATTTGGACTAGTAAGAAGTTGTTGCAAAACTAAATAGATTTTCTACAGAAATTCATCATAAAATTGAAATAGTTTTACTTTCATCTGAACTACCGCCTGATGTCGTAGGAGTTAATGTTGATGATGATGCTCCTCCATTAGTTATGGATGATGATTGTGGTAACGTAGAAGAATTAGATGGCTGTTGTTGTTGTTGTTGTTGCTGTAATTGAGCAGTATTAGTCGATTCAAGTTGTTGATTAAGATGATTTTGTTGACGTACTTGTTGTAAATGCTGTATAATCCATGAAAAAACAAACTTTTCTTTCATTAAAACTATTATAATAATTTACCTGAACTATAGTACGTTGTTGGGGTGTAATTGTTGTAGATTGATTAGGGAGAGATGGTGGTTGTTGTTGTTGTTGATTATACTGCGAGGGTTGTTGTTGTTGATTGTACTGCGAGGGTTGTTGTTGTTGATTGTACTGCGAGGGTTGTTGTTGTTGTTGTTGATTGTACTGCGAGGGTTGTTGTTGTTGTTGTTGTTGTTGATTATACTGCGAGGGTTGTTGGTGGTGTTGATTATATTGTGAGGGTTGTTGTTGTTGTTGTTGATTATACTGCGAGGATTGTTGTTGTTGATTATATTGCGAGGATTGTTGTTGTTGATTATACTGCGAGTGTTGTTGTTGTTGATTATATTGCGATAGCTGTTGTGGATGATATTGTGACGGTTGTTGTTGTCTTATCTGTTGAACTTGTATCCCTGATTGCTGTTGCGATATAGATGGTGCCATTAATTCTTGTTTAATCTGTTGTTGTTGTTGTTGTTGTTGAGGCATTGGTGGTACCATTAAGTCTTGTTTAATCTGTTGCTGTTGTTGTTGCGGTGTTGGTGGTATCATTAAATCTTGTTTAATCTGTTGTTGTTGTGGTGGTATCGGTGGTACCATAAGTTCTTGTTTAATCTGTTGTTGTTGTATGGGAAGATTTTGTGGATTTGATCTCATCTGAACATTAGACATTGGTATTTGAGGTTCTTGTTTAATATTAACCATTGTTGTTGACGATGCGATTGATGATGATGATGTTGATAATGGTGCTTGCATTGTATATGTAGGAGGTGGCTGTTGAGACATGCCAGCCATTGAAGTTGATTGAGATGTCATATACATTGTTTGCTGCTGCTGCTGTTGTTGTTGTTGTTGTTGCTTTTAAAATAATAAAAAATATAACGTTTAAATAAAACTTCAATTCTCATTCATCACCTGTGAAGCCATGCTTGATTGTTGTTGTTGTTGTTGTTGTAGCATTTGTTGATTTCGTTGAAATAACGTTTGAAGAGTTTTTTTATATATTGTCTAAATAAACTAAATATATATTAAATAAGACGAGAGTAATATTGTACCGCTTTTCCACCACTTGCTGCAATTGCTTCATCATCCATATATTTAGCCATTTCTCTATTACCACCTAAATGATATGTTCTAAAGTAAAAACAAAAATACATTCTTAAATTAAAATAAAATCTTAATTTTTTTTTTCGAATGTATTATTTACAATCGTGTTATATAATTTTCACGATCAGCTGATGTTACCATTTGTTGATCATCTGTTTGTGTAGGACCAACATTATTCCCTCCTGTTGTACCATCATTATTCATCATCTTTAATCTATAGAGAAAACAAATAAAACAAGCTTTAATACTTTTCTTTTATGTAATAACAATTATGCATAAATAATCAATCACCGATTTATAAAAAAATCAAAACAGCACCAAAAAGAAAACAAAAAATAAAAATAGAATAAAAGAAATTTTAAAAAAAATAATATTAAAAATTGTTCGTCGTTTTGTCAAGACGTTTTTTCCAAGACCATTTTTGAAAGGGATTCAATGGATCACATGTATTCATGCAAATATCTTTATAATTTATTGCTGATAGTTCGATACAATAACCTGATGCATGTCGTATCATATCATCCTTAAAAATAAAATAAACTAATCAAAATAATCTACATAAACTATCAGTATACTTCATAAAACCACATTTGATTTCCTTGCATTGAATGACATGTCATCGAAACAATTCTATTGGGTTCACGTAAATGTCCTCCAGGATAATCTAAACATTTTTCTTCTCGTCGTACTTCATAATTTTTCGAGTAAAGAAAATATTGATTGCCACCTTGTCCATGACATGGATAACCAATAATAGCTCTATCACGATCTTCGACTTCTTGTGAATCAATACATACATTTATTTTTCCTTGACTTCGAATCTTGAAGAAAAACAAAAAATAGATATTTGACTTTATTGAATTAAAATAATTAAATCGAACCTCGCCGTAATATAAACTTTCTCCTGGAACAAACTGTTCAGGATAAATATTATCAAGAAACCATTTAAATGGTTTACATTGAAGATTTTCACGAATTTTTAATCGATCAGATATATCACCATAATCACCCTTAATAATAAATAAATAAATAAATAGCAAACAATTCGAATTTCTATTTCAAATAAATTATTCTTACAAGTTGATAATTAATTCGTTCATAATAATAATGCTATTAAATAATAAAAAACGAAAACAAAAGTAAATAAATCTACACATATTTCTTTTTATTCATTCATTACTTTATATTCATCAAGCCATACTTCAGCAAGACGAACAGTATTTTTTCTAACAACATTAACATTTTTAGGCCAACTATATGGTGAACGTTTTCGAAAGACATGACCAACATGTGAACATGGAGCACATAAAAGTTCACCACCACATTGCCATAGCTAAATATATAGGAAAATATCTTAATCAAATAAAAGAATTTTATTTTAAAAATAAACCTTAAAAGAAAGTTCAAGATTTTCACCACCCCAAATATCCATGCCCGGATCATACATTCCTAATTGTTCAAACCAATCTCGATCAATAGCAAATAAACCGCCAGCCATTGTTGGACTTCTAAGATATATAAAAATCATATATTGAATTAGTTTTAAAGAAAATTTTATTTACCTAATTGGATCAGTTCTATTTTTTCGTCGTTTCATTTCTCTTTCTGGTGTTGTATGCCAATTGAAAATAAGATTCCAATCAAATCCACCTACTTGAATACCTTCTATTGGTGTAGCTTTAAATTCAAATGTTCCATCATCAATAATTTCAATTAATGGTACAACTGATGCTTTGGGATTACGTGCAATAGGATCTAATAATGGTTCAAGCCATCCTAAAGAATAAAATTATGTATTGTTATCTTAACATTTTAAATGAATTTCTTGTAAAAGATTAAGGTTAATATCTATGAAAGTCTGTGTCTCATCATTGTTATAACTTTCAATCGTGTTTTACACTTTGAAGAGCAGTGTACAGAATTATATACGCTTTTTTAGTATTTCTTAATTTTGAATAACTCGCAAACACAAAAATTTTGTCGGATGATCTGAAATGTGTTATTAATTTTGGTTACAAATATACGGGAAGTAAAAAAAGATGTGAAATAGAATAACTTGAGCCTAGAATGTGTACACAAGCAAACAAACTTTTGAGAAAACGCGTTTAAACGCACAGAAATTGGTCTAAAATCGGCAAAAAGTTGACGTTTTTTGGCTCACACTCGCGGTTGCCGACTGTGAACCCAAAACACCCATTTTTCGTCCTTTTTATACATTTAAACGCGTTTTCACACAAGAAATGAGTGTATATGCATATAAAAAACAGAAAAGTGGTCGTTTTCTCATACTCGAGATGCATAATCATGATTATAGTCACTTTTTTCAAGTTGGAAAAACACGACAACTTTTTTCTCTTTTTTGTAGGCGTGTACACATGTTTCTTGTGTGAAAACGCGTTTAAATGCACGAAAAATGGGTGTTTTTGGCTCATAATCGAGAATCACGAGTGTGAACCAATAACGTCCACTTTTTGCCGATTTTAGAACAATTTCTGTGCCTTTAAACGCGTTTTCTCAAAGGTTTGTCTGCTTGGGTATGAAGTCTGTTTAACAATATTTCATCTATTTGTCTTTTACTTCCATATTTTGAATGACTATATTTTCACACCATTATGATAGAAATTAATTATAGAAGATATGGTACAATAGATGATCCTTATTTCCCAATGTATACTTCAAGTGTGTTATTATCAAATGAATTTTTCGAATCATATACCAGTTAAGTGTCATACTTTGTGTAAATAATCGAAAGACATTCTCGAGTATTTAGTGCAATTTTGAAATAAAACAATCTTCTTCACCTGAATTGTTGTTCTGTATTTTTATACTGTTAGATGGAATAGAGTCAATGCTAGATTTGGGTAAAAAGACAAAGTCAGAAGTAATGAATATTTTATGGTAAAAGAAATAGAACGCTTATATCTCAAGAATCATCTAGGAAAAGAAACCTAAATCCAGCATTCAAAGGGTTACTTCTAAAAGTCAATATATCATAATTGCTAGAACCCAAGCATATATCCATGAGCAATTCGATTAATCCCATTTTCGTTTTATGCGTACACACCTTTGAAAACTATACGAATATTTTGATCGTTTCAGTTCTTTTCGATACTGATGAGGATTAGTGGTGGACAATCATGATCATAAAACATGTTTTGAAGCTCATTAGAGGTAGTGCCAGCTCATTTTCAAGCCTTTTCTACCAGGGAAAATTGAAAACGATCTTATAAGAAGAAGGATAATCGTTCCTCTAAATCGATTGCTGGTGTGGGCAGTCGAAGTACTAGCATCCACACATGCCCAAAAGAACTGAAAAAGATGAAAGTCATCATAGTTTGAAAAGCATAAAAGAAAAATAGAATAAACTACATTTCTCGAGAAGCCGTTCGAGAAAATGTCAGCCCTTATCACACGAATCGATGGATAAGAAAGGACAAAAAACCTTGTTTAGTTTTTCTGTAGGAAAATAAAAACTTTTCAAGATTAAGAAGGAGTCAGTTCTATCCTGCACATATGATCGAATCTCAAATAGCTCTTTTGTAACTTACCTTCAGCACATTCACAATGTGAATCCAAAAAGACTAAAGCTTTTCCTTTGGCATCCATAGCACCCATTAGACGAGCTCGTATAAGACCTTCACGCTTATCTGTACGAAGTAATCGAACTTTTTTCATTGGTTTAATATCATCTTCAAGCATTTTTTTCAAATGTTCTTGTAAGAAAAAGAATGAAAAGTTTTTTATTATTTATTTCAAACTTACCAATAACACAAACCTTTATCCGAAAAATCGTCAACAAGTATTATTTCTTTTAATAAATGTTCTGGTGAACGATCAAGAACAGACCAAATAGTACGTAATAATACTGATCGTGCTTCATTATGAAATATAATAATTACTGATGTTTCAGCTAAATTTGGATGAAATTCAACTTTTTTACATCTAAATTATAGATAGAAAAATAAAAAAGACAATGACAAATGATGATTTCATATATAATTCATTTACTCAGGATCCCGAACATCAGCTAAAGTTCGTCGTACTGATATCATATCACTAGCATATTGATTAAATGCATTATTTTTCCATCCTTCATCAAATTTTTTTCTTTCATCTTCTGTTAATTTATCTTTTTTTATTCGTATTGGATTACCCATTTCACCGGGACCACTCATATTTTGATCATGATGATTATTTCTTTCTGGTGCAACAATTTGTACTTTAGCATTCATTTCTCTTTCTTGTTCATGAGCTTTAATACGTTCTTCTGATGGATGATCATGATCATTATTGTGTTGTATAAATGGTAGAACATTTCTAATACGATCAACTAATGATGGTACTGATGCTATTTGATTAATAACATTAATTGGAATATCATTATTTATTTGAGGTATTGATGAAGAATCAGTACGAAATGAAAATGTTAATATTGCAATAATCCATAAAGTTGGAATTAAAACTAAATATTTTAAAAAAGTACGTCGACGCATTACCATTATTCGGAATCAAAAGAAAAAAGAAACAGACATATGTTACTTCAAGATGATGATGATGATGATGATGATACTGATGCAAATGATGTTGAAGCACCATATGGTTCCATCTATTGTTTTTACAAAGAAGAGAAAGTATCATTTTCACTTTCCCTCCTTTTCGCATTGTTCTGTTCTTTTCGTTTGAATACTAGTTGACAAATCCATAGAATACATTTTATGGATTATTAAATGCATAGATGTGTTAGATAAATGATATTGTTTGAAAAAAAATCAAGGATGGTTGTCATGTAATTTTCTATTGAAATGAAAGTCATTGTAAATTTAATTCATTTTAAATATATTTATTTTTGTTGAAAAATAAGTTGATGATTAAAAGTACATTTTATTCAATGTTTTATCATTAGTTTTGAAGTAAGATAGTTCTGAATACAAATATTTGTTCATTTTTTTTTCTATTCTTCGTTTAGAATAGTTAATTAATAGTTATTTAGATAAAATCTATTCGAAAATACAACGTTGAAAATTCATTATTAAATTAGAATAAAGACATTAGAGTTAAATTTTTTTCTTTTAGTTTAGAAAAAACTCAATTGTTCGATTCGATATTCTTTTTTTCTTCTATGTGATTATTGAGCGCTGATTGGCTGGTGAAGAACGCAAAAAATTTTTCTTTAACCTTACAAAAGCTATAAAAAACAAAACAAATAATTCTTTTCAACGACCGTAAAAGTATGAGTATGCCGGTACTGCTCTGGTTCAGCGACACTACAACGCGCACACTATTTTATGTGTCCGTTCAATAGTACACTTAGTATGTAGAGTGTCGTCAATTGTGAAGAAGAATTGATATCCTGAGATCATAAAGATTAGAGAAGAAAGGAGATGATGACTGAGAAAGCCAATTGGAGGGTTTTTTTTTAGTAGATATGACTTTTTTTGGGGGAGGAATCAACAAGCCAAGAAAAGAATAAAACTCCAGAACTCCATTGAATAAAAACGAAAATTTTCAAGGTTGAGAGAGATCACACAGTCGTTTCTACTCGCAACACTCCTATCAGAGATGGGATTGATTCGCTTTGAATTTTTTTTAAAACTAGGTCGATTACCATAAGCAAGATACAAACCAATCCTATATCAGATCTTTCCATAAAGTTTTTTATGAGACCTATCAAAAGTTGAATATTGTACGATTCGTTATAATTAAATCAATAACTGATCGGTAGATTTGTTTTTGTTCTTATTAGCTATCGTGTTGTAAATAAACTTTGAATTTAACAGTTGTTTTAAGACTTATATATGAAAGACTTTTTTTAAGCCTATAATATCGAATCGAAATAGTATTCAAATACGAATGAATTTTCTTACGCGCTTATATTTCACTTTTTAATTCTAACAATACATCTGATTAAAAAAAAAAACGAAAAGTCTGTTTTTTTTTTTCGGGAAAAAATGTCGTTTGTTTTGAGTTGTATTTTTTTTCTCTTTTCAGATTAAATTTGTAGTGTACAAGATATTAAAATGCCTGCTATAACTCATGATAATGTACATCCAACACAAGGTTCAACTACTATGTATCAAATTACTTCTAGTAGTTCTGATGGTGAATTAAGTGATCAAGAATTACTCAATTTGGTCAATTATTTTGAAGTTAGCCGAGTTGAATTAAAGAATGTATGAAAAAAATTTTTCGTATATATTTCGAAGAAAAATTTTTTCTTTACAATATTTATAGCGTGTTGATTCATTACTTGCTCAACCAATTCTTATAGCAAAACAAGTTGATTCACAAGCACCAAAATTATTCGAAGGTAAATAAAAGTTTTTTTTGTTTTTTTTATTTATTAAAATAACAAATAAAATTTTAGATGATTATATTAAAACACATGGTAATAGTCTTAGTTTAAAACTTTATTCACAAGGTGATCAAATAACATTGGCTACTGCTTCGGTATAAAAAAGACTATCGACAATAAACTTATTTATTATATTTATTTTTCTTGATTAGACTCTACGTCTTTTAGCTAATAATTCAACTATTCATTCATTTAGTCAAAGTTGGCTTTCAGCTAAATTTATATTTCGTGATTATACAAATCCACTTAATTATGGTCTTATTGCTGATCGAGTAATGAACTTTATATGTGAAAAAAGAAAAAAAAAAGAGATTTCTTCATTTTATCTTAGACCGGTGCTCGTGGTCTTATTTTATGTGTTCAAGCATTTGTTCTTCGACATTTACTTATAAAAAATGCCTTATTAGAAAATCAACATCGGTCTGTTTCTGTTACTGTCGAAGCACGTACTGAAGCACTTGTTGATGCTCTTACTGAAGTATGAAAGACTTTAGAATTGTTAAATTTAATAGACTTGTATTTTGACAGATTTTATGGCAAGCAGGTGAATATCGAGGAGCAACAGTTTGTATTCCTTATGCTGGTGATGCATGTTTTACAAATCATGGCGAACATTATGTACCTGATAGAATAACTGAACGAGTAAGAATAATATTTTATCACAATAAAAAAAAGTATTAAAAAAAAAAAAACCAAAATTTTAGTTACATATGTTTGAATTTGTTGATGTGGCAAAACTTCGTTCATTTATTATCAAATGTTTACCATATGTATGTAAACAATAAATAGAAAAACATGTATAATTTCATTTTGTTATTTTTAGTTTATGAAAGAAAATGGTGTTATTCTTTTTCTCTATAGTCTAATGTTATCACGTACATTAAAAAAGTAGATACAAGGTTTTTTCTTTGTATACAATAGAAAAATTTGATTTTATATAGATTAATTGATGATCTTGATCATACACGTTTAGTAGGTGAACGTGATGAATCAACAATTCAAATGGTTACATTAGCATTAACTGGACGTGCTTTACATTATTTACATAATGGTGTTATTGATGTTGATTCACATGGAAATTTAATGGTATAAAAATTAATATTCAATTGAATAAATATCTATATAATTTTTGTATATTTTAAGGAAAAACCTCAACATGGTGTAAAAACTCGTTCTTCAGTTGGATTTCTTTATTGGTCAAAATATGATGAAGATTCATTTTGGCATAAACAAGAGATTGGTTCAATGTTACGTACACCAAGAGTACCTGTATGGCTTATTTGTTTAAATCGTCGTTATGCTATTGTATTTTCAACAAATATTAATCTTTTAAATAATTGGATTTATGAAAATTATTTTCAATTACATGTTTATAGTGGCTTAAAAAAACAAGAAAAATCTTGTATAGTTTCAATTGATACTCGACAACAATATCCAGCATCGATTTATGGAGATTTTTTTGAAGAAAATGATCAACGTGTACCGGATATTATTCAATTATTACAGACACGGTTAATTTTTTACGAAAATCTTTTCTTTTTTTGTTTTAGAATTTTTTTTTTCTTTTGTCTATTTGTTTTAGATGGTCCGATTGTACGATTGAAAATGCTGAAGAGATTTTACATGAATTAATGACAATTTTTTAAAAGATATTTTATTATTTTAATGCATGAATGTAAATAGCTTTGATATGAATGATTATTTTGTGTTTGAAAATTTCACTTATGACTTTTTTGTTTTTGTCTAATCAAGAGAGTTTAAAAAGAAAATAAGGTTTGTTTTTGTCGTGGAACGACATTGATTTATTTAACACATACATAGTTTGTTTTTTTTTATGTTGATTTTATCGAATGATTAATATCAATGAAGAGTCTATGCATCAATTGATATAGGATATTTGTAACAAATAAATTTAAAACTCTCTAGAAATGTATTAATATAAAATGATATATTGTTGCAAAATAAACTTACAAGAAAAATTTTCTAAATGATTCATATTATTTTGTTCACTTTGTTTTAGGGACTCGCATAAGTAAAATCGAGTTAGGTGTAAGTAGAGAAGAAATATCACACAAAACTCGGCCAGGGCATATTTCTCGCATGGTAGGCGGACATATGACCCTGGAAAGTATTTTTAAAGAAATTTTTTTTGTCCGCAAAATTGTTTTGTATGACATCGATTCTACACTATTTAATGCATTGATTCCGAATATACTATTTTTGTCGATTAAATATTTTTTCAGAGCTATAAAAATTGAAAAATACCTAAAAAGTCTATATCTTTTGGAATCCTATTGTGCAGTTCAGGAATAGGGTGTGGATTGTTCATTTTACGAGTCTCGCCGTTTAGACGACACTATAGAAAAAAATATTTTTTTATCATTGTATAGAGCTCGGTTTACAGATTCAGAAAATATACTTGATTTGTCTATCGAATAAACCAATTTTGTCATATATGAACTTTTCTAGTGACATCACTAGTATCAAGCTAATTTTTGGACAGCTAGTTTTTTAGTTTCTTTGAGGGTGTAGCAAAGATATTCATACTATTAGATAAACTATATTTCATAGTATATTATTCTATATTTAATTTAATAAAGCAGGATTTTTATTTTTTACCATATAGTGACCTACATACACACTATGCCTGACGCTTACAGCCATAGCTTTCTAAAATTAAAACTTGTTTTTTCTTACCACAGCTTTGAAGACACGGTATTTGTGCTATTAAACTCTGCATGTGAAACTTCAAGCCAACGTAGAATGATTTATTACTATAAGAAAATAAAAAGAAAGCGAATATCACGCAATCGTCTCGCCGTTTTATTAAAAAATCTAATAATATTGACTTTTCGAGAAAGTATCGGTATCAGGTGAATATCATTGAAATATTGTGACTTTATTTAAAGTACAGTCAATGAGTTTAAATGAATTAATAAAACATGTAAAAATTCACTTATATATTCCGATATGAGGTTTTATGTAGTTTTTTTCATGACAGAAAAAAAAGCAACAATGCCAAATCTCTCATATAAAGTTTGTAGAGAATATCAAAGTATCGTACTATTGTTTGAAGAAAAATATGATCGAGCCTTTACAGTAGTCGTCATAAGTTCTCTCATATGTTGTTGGTCACCAGTGAAGCATGATGAATCCTGATCGCAAGCACCAATCAAAGATTGATTAGGCTTCATGTGAAGAAGCTAGAAGGCTAACACTGTTTTTTTTACGCAGACGAGAATACTTAAGAATTAACATCAAATCTCAATACGTTCTCTATCACAAATAAAAATTTTATGTGAATTGACTGATTCATGAAGTCAGTTTGAATATTTTAAGCATGAGAATTTATAGGATTTGTCAAAAAAGTAATCTGTAATTTCGACTTTTTCCTACCATGTACCTTGAAGTTTTCTTTAGTAAATTCTCTGTTCTAATGAACTATTTCCTTAACATTTCATGATTATGACCGATGGTTAAGCAGAGACCATTTCAAATGAGAAAAAAAACATCAATCAATGTATAGATATTAACACGTCAAAGTAATGGCGAAGACGAAAAGTTATTTTTTAATGTTCAAGGGAAAAACTTAGTATTTTTATTCTAAGTCGATCGATCTTGGATTGGTGATTGCAATTAAACTGTGTTTATAATAAAAATATCAAGTAAAACTATTCAAATTCAGGTAGTTTTTACCTATCAGTAGAATTTTTAGTGATTACTATAATAGACTTCACTATTTGAATACAGCATTTAATTTGTTTATTATTGTATATATTTATAAAGATAATATTGAAAAGAAAAGAGAGAAAAAATAATTTTCTAACTAAATATCTGACACTATCGTGGTGGTTTATGAACAAAAGCATGTGCAATCCAATCTAAAAATCGTCTTGTATCCTTTTGTGCTGATAGAATTTTTCTTTTATATGCTTTTATAGCATGTTTTGTTTCATATGGTTTATCTCCAATTAAAAATAACGATTGTCGTAAATAATTCAAATTTGATATACTGTTCAATAATGGTAAACGTGCATAAATAATTAAATAAAGTAAACCAAATAATGATGTTGCATGTTCACGTAGTAGACGAAATGTTTCTAAGCATATTTGAATAAAATCTCGATAATCAACTGTATCATTCTGTGTACGATTATTTATTACATAAAGAAATGGTTCAACAAGAACAATACTTGTTGTTTCACGTGGAAATATATTTCCAAATTTAACATAATCACCTAATATATGACCAAAATCAACATGAAATAAACGACCATCGGGTGTTAACATTATATTTGATGGATGACGATCACCTATATCAAACGAATATATTAATTAATATAACATGCAAAAAACAAAATAAAACATAACTTACCAAGACCCATAACAAAACCAGCAGTACAATATGCTGCACATGATCTTCGAAATTTCACAAGAACATTATTCGGTACAGTTACTTCTGATGTATCACCTGTTATTCCAATAGTATTAGTTCGACGTGTTGTTTTTCCGACTGGAAGTCTAAAAAGTAGCAAAAAAAAAGAAAGAATAGTTTTCATTACTCAAATGTCGAAACTTTTTTTTTATTAATTACTTATGTGCAGTATTATTTTGAGTAACTAACCAATCATAAATTACATTACGTTTCATTGTTGTTGTTGTATTAAATTTATGATAAATATTTAATATTGTATATGCATTTGATACAATTCGAATAAATCCTGTTGTATCACTTGTACACATAACATCATAAAATGTCATATGAAGATTTTGAAGTTGTAATAAATCTTCATTTGTATTATTGATACTATTTGTTTTCCAAATCGAATCAAATAAACGAAATATTTGTAATGTTAATACATCTTGTCGTAAATCATCACCTATTTTATAGATTAATTCAAAATGTTCATGTGTAGGATTTAATGCATTTTCCCAAACAAGTTTAAATGGTCGCATAAATGAATCATATACATGACATTCATCAATTAATAATGAACCAAGAAGACAACCTGTATCTAATGGTGATACACAACGCCATGAATTTTTATCTGAATCACGTAAACGTGCAAGTAAAGCTTGTCTCATACTTGGTGCATCTTTTACATTCGTTGATCTTATTTTTTGATTAATTGTATTTAATTTTAATGTTAATGTTACTTGAGTTTGTAAATCATTTGATATTGTTAAACCACAATATGTTTTATAAAGTTCAAACATAACACGACCATTACGTGTATTAACATTTAATAATGTCCAAAATAATTTTTGACCAATACCACGATGACATAATGCTCGTTTAAGAATAAGACGTATTAATGGTGTATCAATATAATGTTCAAATTGTATTGCAGCTTGAATTATTTGTGGTAAATAAAAAAGAAATAAATGATTAGATAAACGTGCTAATTGTGAAACAGCATAGGAACGTATATGTGCGTCTGGTAATGTACAATCAAGAAGAAAAAAACACATTTCAAATGACATTGGTGGCCATAAATCAATTAATTTATACATTGAAAATAATTTGTCATAAACTGGTGCAGTATTATAATAATTATTACCGGCAAGTATTGAACGATGAATATCAGCAAGAATGGAATGAAGAACACATGGAAGAGCATCTATAGGTGCTGATGAACAATCAGACAGCCAAGAAGGTTCTTGCACCATATATTGTGTCTAAGCAAACAAACATAGATCATTGAAACATAATTTAAAATAAATCATACCTCATCATTGAGAGTACCAAGTAAATAATTCAGTGCTTCTGCATTAGCAACATCATCACCTGATTCATGATGATGTTGTTGTTTAGCTGTTGTTACTGCTGTCGGTGTTCGCATATTAATATGAGTTAATTTTTCTGAAATTTCTTCATTATGATAAAATCTATATGGTTGAGAATCAAATGTAAGTTTTATTTCATATTTATATACTGGTGATTCAATATATGATGAACCAATAAAACCATCTGGATAAAGATGTTTTGTATTTGCAATATTTTGTATTGGATTAACTAAGTTAAATGTGAATTCATATGAACCATTTAATAGAAAACCATTTGAACGAAATAAACTAACATTAAGAAAATATGTTTCTGATTGTTTATTTGTTAATGCAAAACAAAGTAGAGTACCAGGTAATATACTAGCAATAGGTAATGTTGTAGTTTGTCTCATTTCTTCAATGCATGTATTATTCCAAGTAATTGGTTCAAATGAAAATAAACATCGACGTCCATAATAAATTCCTGAATGAAGTTGAAATAATGTTTGTTTAGCATTTGCTGATGGTCGAAGACGAAAAATAAATTTAAATAGCGATGATGATGATTGCATAGATAATAATTGCTGATCTGAATCATTTTCTTTATTATTATTTATTGGTATATTTCGTTTTGTTGTTGATTGAAATATATCGGGTTCAGTATTATTATTATTCTTATTATTATTATTAGTTTGTCCAATTTTTTTACTTTTTTTTGGTAATTCAATATAAATTAATTGTAAATTTATTTGAATATTTTTTTGTAAACATTCTTGAATATAACTATATTGAAGTAATGGATAAGATTCTGATTTTAATAAAAATTCATTACGATAAGAAAATTTTAACATTGGCTCAGTTGATGCATTATAATATTCTAGTATTGATTTATTCTCTTCATTAAGAATACGTTTAATTAATTCTTGGCATGTGGTTGTTTGTGTACAACTAAAAGATGTTTCTCTTCGTTCAACATAAACTAAAAATGAATCAATATTTGATAAAATTGTTTGAGATATAGATGGTGGTGCATGAAGAATTTCTTGTGGAATTGTTGTATCACGCCATTCAACTAATTGTTCAATAAATTGTGTTAAGGATTCCATATCAGATTGATCAATTGATGATAACCATTTACATAATGGTGATGGTAGTTCACCTTTTGCACTGACACGTACAAATGGATAAACAAGACCAAGTGTATCAAATGATTGTTGTTCATCTAAGAGTAAATCGTCTGTATCATTTGTAAATGTATGTGTTATGGAAAGAAAATGAAATGGCCATGTTACAGCATAATCATTGTGTAGTATATGACGAATATCAGCTAATGTTTGAATTTGTTCACGTTTAATACAAGCAACAAGACCATTTGGGAAGAGAACATCAATTGTAGGTAATGCTTTTGATGTAGAATTTGTTGAATGTGAGTCTTCAAATGCAGTTATATAACATTCCGATGGAACTATTAACAAAAAGAATATAAACAATTAATTTAAAATAGTTAATAAAAGTGAGCTTGTGTTTTTTAATTTTAGTAAAAAAAAGGTTTTTCTCTAGTCAATTCAAAAATTAAACATTCATGTTACATGTTAAAGACATTCTTCGTTGATATTTAGTTTAAATCTCATGATACCATATTCATATACCCATCTTATAGAGATGATAGTATTTAATAAACTAATCGAAAATTCAGTTTTATAACCTATAATTATTACATTGTTTAGAAAGTTCAACAATTGCAAAGATCGTATCTTACAACAAGTAGTATAATTAATTACAAAAGAAGTAAGCCTATAATACAAAAAATGAATTTAATCTTTATTAGATCTGAATATTAATCATAAATTTTGCTCGTTGCTATTTTGTAAGGAAAAAAACATTATCATGATGACTCACTGTAATAATCATAACTTGGTAAATCATCTAGCATATTGATCTAGAAGAAAGAAAAAAACCATACGACATTCAATCAAAGAAAAAATAGCAGATGTTCTATCGCGTCGATTTTTTTCAATTAAAAGGATATACTTCTCATTTAAACTTTTTTCTAAGACATTCGACAAACAATAATGTGTCGTCTTGCTTTTTCTTTTTCTTCGCTTTTTTTTTTATCCTTGTCACATGTAACTAGGTGTTTTAGATAAAATAGTATAGTTCAACTTTCATTTACTTTTTTATCATGATAAAATACAAAATGATTAACATTCAATATGTTATGTCATTTGAAAGGTGACAATAGAGAGAGAGAAAGAAAGAAAAACAAAGGTATTTACGAATGCACAATCACAATAGCCTATATTATCAGTTTCTTTTAAAAGAAGACAAGAGATAAAAGACAAAATAAACCGATGAATAAATCTACAAGGGTAAGTCACAATGTAATGGTAATATGTGAAGAGACTATAGTAATAAATAGAATAGTGACATAGAAAAAACAACGAAATTACATTTACATTGCTCGTATGATTAACACCATTTTATGTAGATATTATATCGATGAAAATTTTACGGGTATATATGCTGTTATAGAAAAGAAAAAAAAAATGAAAGAAGTAAGAAACAGAACGATCGAAAACTATTAACCTCAGATGAGAGAGACCACTATCGAACCTCTTTGTGTTCATTGATTGAAAGAATGAAAATGTAAAATAAACAAATAGCATTAGCTAGAAAAAAGAGAAACATTTATTTCATAAGAGACTTCAACTCTTTTTTTTCTAGTAGTTATATTATACACTTGTTTGTAATATATATATTAAAGGTAAAATTTAAAACGAATGGTGTATGATTCTTATACGGCAGATGTCGTTAAGTTAAATGTACTTGCAAACCTAAGTCCGTCAGTTTGCCATTCTCTAGAAGTTATTATAGTTAAATGTAATGTCAATAGAATTGATGCTTATTTTATATCAATTGATAATAAAAGATTTTATCTAATGAATACAATTCGAACATCTATCAAATTATTTTCAAATGAACAACTTCGACTTCTTATATGCGTATTATACAAGCTGTTTGACAAACTAATATATTATTATGATATATTCTTGTTCTAATATGTTTATTTAATTAAAAAAACTGGTAAATTTCAAATTAGTAATACCTCTGAAATCTACAGATCAAAATTTCTACGAATTGGAAAAATCCTACGAATTTAAACTAATAAAAAGTGTAATTATTTGTTGTTTTGAACCCTATCATTTCAAAAATAGCTAACTAGGGAACTATTCCAAATATGACACTCATCGTTTGAAGCCTACTCATATTGGACCAACAGATAGGCTCCAATGAGACTAGCAAAAACTTAAAAGAGTTCTTCACCGAGTTATAATCAGTTTTCTATATATTTCAAACTTGAATAATACTTGTTCAATTGAATTCAACTTTTAAGTTTCACACTCTGGTCATAAGTCAGTACTAAAGCCTAATTGTGAAAGATCTCTTTAGGACTTTGCTATTCTCATCGAGACCTATATGTGGATTCAATATGAGTTCAAACAATGGGTGTCACTTGCGATAATTCCTTCATAAGAAATCAGAAATTTACTGTCTTGAGTATGGATGAGGGTCAGGATGACCGTAAGAGTATATCATTAGAGTGGGATAAATAGTCTTCGTCACCATAATGGGGAAAATACTTATACCACTGAAATAATATTTCTCGTTTTTTTCTTTTGTCTGATTGTTGTTATTTGTCATATTGAATATTTGTCAAAAACCAGAAACCAATAACCAGAGATCTAATAAAAGTTAGTGAAAATTTGAGACTTACCACAACTTCTGTTCATTAATTTTACCATAAGTTTTATTTGCTAATACAATAACTTTTGTTATAGAACAAATTCTCTTAGTATTATATTTGGTTCTATTCAACTATTTTTTTATAATATTTCTCAATGTGATATTATAACTATAATATATAGTATAAGTTTCTTCCGTTATATTGAGTTCAAATGTTCTTTCTTTTTCTCTTTATCACTATCTGTTCTTAAATTACCATTGCCTTTTGGTTTCGTACTAAACAACCTGTATCGTTTATCTTTATGTTTTGTTTCAACAATCTTCTTTTCATATTTAACTATTCTGTGAATAGATCATAACTTGTTTATAGCATCTTTTATTATTGCACTGCTTCAATACACATATTTGTATTTTATTACTAGTCGAGATTTTCAAATAATTGTATCTCTTTATGAATCTACTTATATATACTTAGCTGAATTTTTTTTCTTCATTCGATTCTTTTTTTAGTTTATGTAAGACTATTCTAATTATTTTCAGATGAATATTTAATTAAAATGAATGACTTAACTGATACATTAAGTATTTTAAGTTTAGAAGATTGGAATGCTACGGATACAGGTGTTTTATCACATATAAAAACTCCTATTCAAAATACATTTTTTAGCTCGAATTCGGATTTAATTGGTAAAGCACTTCGTCAATCTATAATTTATTTTGCTGAAACATTAAATATAGTTGATCGATCATCATGTATATTTGGAAATGAATTTCGTTCAACACGAACACATAAATGTCAATTATTACGTACATCAGATGAAAAAACTTCAGAAACAACAACAATACCAATTGAAATAACAACATATGCACCAATTGCATTTGAATATATGCGTACAGTAATTGGTATAACACGAAATGATTTTCAAACATCATTCAACTGTGATGAATTAATTAATTTTGCTAATACAGGAAGATCAGGTTCACAAATGTATAAAACAGCAGATGATGTAAGTTAACCAATGAATTCAAAATAATATTTTTTATTTTTATTTTTATTTATTTAATTATAAATTTAGGTTTACATTATAAAAACAGTACGTGATCATGAAGCAAAATTGTTGATTCGAATTTTATCTGGCCTTTATTTATATTATTCTCATACACCTTCATTAATGACACGATATGTTGGTTTATATTCTGTAAATATGGGTTCAAAATTAGCATCGGAAATCTATTGTATTGTTATGTTGAATAATTTACCATCATTTCTTGATATTAATGAAATATATGATCTTAAAGGATCAAGATTTGGTCGATATTCAAGTGTTGATTTACCAGTAAAACGTTTAAAAGCATTAAAAGATCTTGATTTTGAATTATTTTATCCATATGGTATTCGTATTCCACATGATATTTATCGAAGATTAAGATTAACACTTGAATCTGATATATGTGAATTAAGAAAAATGATGATTACTGATTTTAGTCTTATATTAGGTGTTTATCAATTAGATGAGCATATTCAAAATAAAAAAAATAACGAACAAACTCTAAAATTACGACCAAAACCACAATTAGGTTTAAGTGCATTATTTGCAGCAACAAACATTGATCGAACATTATTTGAATCTAGTAAATTTAATGAGACAAATAAAACAGAAAATATTTCAAATACAAAATTAATTAATAAATTTATTATGAAACCTTTACATCTTATTGCTTGTCCACAAGAAGATACTTTTTCTGATGATACAATGGCAACAGCATTTTTAGGTAAGTTATCATAGTGATTTTTAGCTAATTATATTTAATTTGAGATACGTCATATGATATTAGCAAGTTGTGATGTTCTCTCTATATGAAAGTAAACAAAATAGAAGGGTATAGATGTGTATGAATGTAGGTGTGGGTAACGGTATGAATGTGGACGTGGACGGAGTGAAACCAACACTCACACTCTCTTCTGTTTGCCACTTATTTATAGAATCTTCTCACTAGCGCAGTATGAAGAAAGAGTGAGGTTAAACCTTTCTCGAATTAGGTAAGAGTAGATATTCTACTGAGTTAGATAGAGTTAGGATGAGAAAGTTTTTCCTAATTACAATACAGAATACGAATAAAGCTAATCGTATATATCACTACAATGAATCAAATTGTTCTTTCTTTATGTAGAAATAATTTTCGAATATAATGAATTTCTAAGGTATTCCTGGTGTAACACATGATGGTAAACGTGTACTTCTTTATCCAGCTATTATTGATTGTTTACAAACATTTGATAATTTCAAACGTATGCAACATACAATACAAAATATTCGTGATCGAAAACGAAGTTCTGAATATAGGTAAATTTTTATGACTTCTTTTTTAAATATCAATTTTATATTTATTGTTTAGTGTTATTCATCCAGATGAATATGAAAAACGTCTTATTCGATTTTTATTTGATAAAGTACTTATTGATTCTAAACAAACATTGAATGAATTACTTGCTTCACCTATTTTATGTAATACTCTTTCAGAAGATGAGATTAGACAAATGTATGAAAATCAAAATCAATGTTTGAATGCACAACGTGAATCATTTGAAATTATTCAAACGTTAGATATTAGTAGTGTATCAGTGCATAATGAACCAATTATTCAAACAAATGAAAGCTTGTAAAAGTTTTATTTTCAATCGTAAGAATATCAAATAATGCTACGGTGTTAGTTAAAAATATAACATTTCAAATTATTATTATTCTTGTTTTTGAGAAAGTAAACTTGTTATTTTTCTTTTGAACTAAAATAAAAAGAAGTGATTAATTTTAAAAACTTTGCATCAATTTCTATCCAATTGAATGAGATAGATTTGAATATGGCTTTATCAATATAATAAAAAGAAAGAAATATTTTTTTTTCTTTGACATAGAATGTTCATTTCATTGAATTATATGTATTTATTTGATCCATTAGTTTTTGGTATAATGCCGTTTACAATAGGCAAGTTTTTTTGTTTATTCTGAAAAGAATTCTTTTTTTTTTGTATAAGAAATGTCAAGGATCAAAACTATCACAGCGTGCATAATAACTATGTTTATTTATATGAATAAAAAAATCTTGCTTATTATTCAAATTAATGAGATAATAAGAATGATGAATTCCATTTATCATATCGATCAGAAAATGTCAAAAGATGATTTTCTTCATCCTACCATATATTATACAGGGCAGGACTTCATGCATTGCTTGTTGTTCTTAAATTTTTTGCATGAACAAGTAAATAGAATTTTTATCGATTTAATTTGGTGACGAACATGTCCGTCTTTGAGTAAAGGTGAACCAAGCTGAACTAAATACTCTTTCCATCGAATCACTAGTCCTGTTATGGAATCTACTCTTCTGACTAGTATTCACAATGATAGAAAATTACGACGAGTTTCACTACTAAACCAGAATTTCATTGAATTACGATCAAATAAGATTAGTTGAGTGTCCTGCATACTGTAATGTTCTTTAATATTGATTGAAACTGATAATAATATATTAAAAGATATTATACCATACACAAAATAAATTTCCAGAGAAGAAAAATGCGATATGACATAAAATACCTGATGTTGAAATTTATACGGTTCTAATTGTTTGTTTTGACTCATATTTGACATGTGACTTAATTCAAGTTCGAAACTTATTTTTACACGCTTTATATTCATTCAATGAGAAAAAAATTGCACAAACATATTCATCTATGTTATCAGCCAAGGACATCGAAATTTTATTTTCATTAATGCATCCAATTAAAAGTATAACTCATTCCATTGTATCAATTAATCACTTTAATTAATTTGACATATTCTTCAATAATAAAATTTTATTTCATTAGATTTCATCATTTAGATGAAAAATACATTCTTTATTTGCAAACTACCAAAAAAAAAAAAATGAAATAATATCTTTTGCACTGATTTAGAGAAAAAAACAGAGATGATAATAGCAAAGATCTTTTGATTATATTGTTTTTATACAAATTTTTTCTTTAAGAATACATATGCAGATTAAAATATTGGGAACGATCATTTTAAGAAGCAACTAACATGAAGATCACGGTTACAGGAATAAGATTAAACGAGAATGCTAGAAGTATAATATTATGTTTTCTTTCTTTCTTTATAGTTTAACATTTCGATCATCAAATGAATCAACACGAAGTTGAAGTTCATGACCATAATAATTTGGATCATCATCAACTTCATCGCCTTGTGAATCATTACGATAAAGACCTGAATCAACTGAATCAAATGGTGCACTAGAACGACGTGGTGCACGTGATAATGAGCCATGACGACGTTTATATTCTGCTGCTTGTTCAGTTAAACGATTTGCAATTGAAAATTTTGGAATACTCAAATGTGATACTAAACAAAGATTAGAGGAAAAAAAACTTTGCACACACAAAAAAAAACTTTTTTGACTTACTAAAGCCGAGACCTTGAAGAAAAAGTCGAATAGCTTCAGCTGCTTTTGCTGGTTGTTCTTCGAGGACAGCACCACCACAATCAGCAAATTCAACATAGGAAGACTTGGCTGGATCACATTTATCATTCGTATCAATAACATCATCTTTATGTGGTGATGAAAATCCAGTTATATTAATAATATTGCAACTACAAGAAAAATTATAAAAATCTTCTTGGAGACAAACAAAAGGATTTGTTTTTTTTTGTCATACTTAAGACTTATAGGTGGATTAGCAGTTTTATTCGATTCATTCGGTCGTTCCATTACAATAGGTGTACGTCTAAGGAGCAAAAACAAAATAATTGTTTAATCAAAAATAAAATAATGATTTCTATTAGCCATACTTTAAAAATGAATTAAGAAGTTTGACAACATTTTTAGCACTAACATTTTCTTCCAAATGACGTCGAAGTCCTTGTACTAAGTCTGGATGTGTTGATTGACTCTCCTATATTTCATAATTATCATATTTATGTAAATGAATAACACGATTATACTCACATAACCTAAATGATACCAAATAAGATATGTCAAAAGTGCATCAGTCCATGTTTCTTGAGGCATATCCTGTGTTGGCCACTAAAAAAATGAAAGTTATATGCAATTTTTAAGTATTAAAAAATCTAAATACTTTAAGAGTAAAACCTTCGAACCATCCAATGCCACGTGAAATACAATTAACCAAAATAAGACCATAGATTTTTGTTGAATATTTCAACTAAAAAACAATTAAAATAAAACCAAAATAATTTTATTTTCAAAGATAAAATGCTAACTGCAAAACGTGTTAAAATATTTGCACCAACACCAACACCAAATCCGATTGCTGTTTTAATACTAAACGATTTTATATGTTAAATTAAATAAGTTCAAAGAAAAAAAAAAAACAATACTCTAAATGATCGAATACATCATTAACGGTTTCAGCTAATTGTTCCATAGTTGGATAAACAGATCTAAATTCAATTATCATATATAGAAAAAAAAAATCAAACAATAGATTCAAATGTTTTACGTTGACGGTAATGGATTAGCTCGATCTTCTTGTCCTGGTGCATTAATATGATATATTGTAAAATATTCTGTTATTGGTATCATTTCAGGAGAAGCAAAAAAATGATGGAATTGTGTTGTAGCTAGAAAAAAAAAGAGAAAAACAATCATACATTTGTCCTGAATAATCATTTTAATCTATAATAACATACAATTATATCCAACATCATGATAAGTAACTATGACTGGACGATCAGATGCACCTTGTTGTGTTACCAAAACATAACCATATCGTGTTGAAATCGGAATTGACTAAAATAAAAAAAATAAATAAAATTTTTAAAATTCATATAACTAACAAACTAACTTTCACAGTATTGATTGAAGTCTCACGTATTGGACTTTCGAGTAATCGATCTTGAGTATCAACTGATGTTGTATAAGTAGCCATTGTGAATTCTAAATGAAATCAAATAAAAATGTTACATCATAAAAAACATGAGTAAGCGAAAGAGCAAAATGTTTTGACAGTCATGTCGATGTACTCGACGTAAAAATGCATTAAAGGTGATAGGAGAGAAAAAAAATCACAAGATATCATATCATCAATATGAAGCTTGTTGATTCTGCAGTAAATGACATCGGCATTCTCGATTGATACATTTAACGCAGCAATCAGTATGAGCATGAGGATGTCACTAAACTGTAATTTTGTCTGAAAATTTCCGACAACAATAAATAAAAAATTGTTTTTATTTAAATTATTCAATGAAATATCGGCAACTATTGATATTTCATCAAGTATGTTGGCACTGTTTTGAAGATGCCGCCAGTTTACGTCGTTTTCGCGTATACTAGCGATTCTCTAGCTTCGTTCAGTCCTATAGTTAAATGAGTTAATAACATCATTTTTGAGAGAGAATATACATATATGTATATATTTCTCAAATACAGAAGTCATGAGCATTACAAAGATGTGTCAAAAACAGAGAAATGAATTTTTTGATAGGTGAAATTGAAAAAATTCTCACTACTCAAAACTTTTATTACATACATTCTGCTCTTGATTTGCCGATCGAGTTGTTATTTTTGAAAACTTTTTTATATTGAATTAATTTGTATGATTTCTCGTGACAAATGAAAAAATGATACATGCACTCTATTTTCACGGTACTCATGAATATTACTGTTAGTTTATGTTTCTTTTCTTTGATTTTTGCCTATTTTGTTTACTGATATTCATTTATAACATCTATTCCCTAACCAAAAAATTATTTTTTACTGTAAAATATGTAAAAAAAACAATTAATAAAATATTATCAAAAACTAACAATAGTACCGATAGATTGCTAGGAGTCCATAGGTATTGATAGAACTCAAACAGTATTGTGACTTCCCGAAGAGATCATATTTCTTGTTTTTTTCTTTTTAAAATGAGGTATCTCACAGTCTGATGTTTGCATGCTGGAGAAATACAATTCGAGTAATATTTTTTTTACATGTAGCGTCGATGTGATGAAGATTATGAGGAAATTGTGGCATGTTTCGATGCTATCTCGGTGAATTTATCGTTTGTGACCTTGAAAGGTATCGAAAGAAAAACAATCATGAGCTTATTCAAGCATTTGAAATACACATGATTTAGTACTGCAATTGATTTTGAACATTTTCAATGAATGAAGAAGTTTGTACAAGAAAGCATCTTAACTACCTCAAACCTTGAAGTTTTTAGTGTGGATAATGAGCAATCTGAGCTGTTGACCTTTTTACTTCACATCCTCGAGAACCTATATTGTTTCCTCCTTCGAAGTAGCAGATTTATAGAGCAACCAACATATCATCGAAAGGTCAATAAAAAATGTAAAGGTCAAGCAGTTAAATTCTGAGATTTGCTAAAAAATGTTACTTATTCGGTCCGATAACGAATATCTATCAAAAGTGAATACAAACGCATGCTTTGTTCTCAAAAGTGCGCTTCTACATTTCTTTTTTACCATAGTGAAGACATAGGTTATGTTTGTTATCTATTTAGCATGGCTTCACAAACTATAACCATAGAATTTAAAAAGCTAATCCAGTAGTTTTTGAATCCTTCGTCAATCAAGAATGTAAGTAACATGCCATTGTCACTATTTCAAAGACATAAAAAAGTACGGATGTATTTATTCAATCTAGATTTTTCTCAAACTAGAAATATTCGTACGATAGAAGCATCATTAGAGTACCATGATATTCATTCTTTATTCTTCTCAAAGGCTAGGTAATTAATGCTCACAATTTCTTCTAGAATTAGTAGATATTCTTTTTCTATGTCGTGCATATTTCACAAATATTCATGCCGAAACCTTTTTCCGTATCACAAGAAAATTTTAATAAGAATAATTAATATGATTCATGATTTATAATCATTAAAGAAATACAAAAATTGAATGACACCAGTATCGAATAATCAATGGTAAGTGTGTTTACCATGGTAAGCATGGCGCATCCTCATTACGACAATGTTGCCAATAGGTTTCGTATCGACCAGTCGATAATTCCATCAATGTCGAATATACGGTTAACTAATTCAACAAAAAAAAAAGAAAAGAAATATTTGACAATCTAGATGATTGATAGATCAAGGAAGAATAAATTACCGCATTGAGCATCGGTCTTGATGACAGAACATTGAATAGAGACTCAAATGTAACGTGATCTTGACCTTTTATTTTCATACATTTGATACATGGTGTTAGCCGATCATCGAAGAAAGGTTGTTTTTTCCAGTTATCATAATTTGTCTCAATTACAAACCATAAATTATCTTGACCCATTCGTGTGATATTAACAACTTTGGTGCGTTCTCGTGTAATGACAACACCCTACAAATTGATAATTTAAGGAGCATATGAGAAACAATAATCAGATACTTGTTTAGGCTTTGGTCCACCAACGATATAATAACAAGGAGCTAAGAGTTCTGTTTCACTTAAGTAGTTAACGACTACATCAAAACTTTCTGCTTTTGTAAGCATATCACGTATGGCAAATGTGATAAATGATTGGTTACGGTTAATGTTAAAAATCCATTCAATTAAACCTGCATAGCCACCATCAAAACTCGTACGACTATTGACTGAAACACTGAATGCGTTCGGCTTCAGACCAGTGAGTACGCCTATGAATCTATCAAAATAAAAACACAAAGACTATTCCCGAAGAAAAGCAAATTTCATAACTATACCCTGCAAAAGTCGTTGTTTTATAGAGTACTTCACCATTTCGGGTAAAATTGATTTGAGCAATCAATGTACGAAGTTTTTCAGTCAATATCCAAGTATTATTTGACATGTCCCAGCTAGAACACAAGTATAACGATGTTTAGTTTCTTTTTTTGGCTAAGAATTAGTCCCATAGTGTTGGAATCTCATCCAAAAAATCGAAGGTTTTCTATGGAATATTTATTTTTAATAAAGTAGTAACGATAAATGTTGTGATTTTTTTAGCCATTCATCTTAGTTCTAGTGCAAAGAATACATTACGGACTCTTATCGAATACATACCCGACGAAAACTCCAAAGTCGAGATTTCGTACATGGAAAACATTACCATATTGATCTTGAGCTACCATCGATGTACAGAGCGCAGAGGCTTCGTAGAAAATATTGTAGAGAACGATTTCACCTAAACAAATAGAAGTAGTGCGTTTTGCATGATAGCTCTTTCTCAAAATTAACGTCAACAGAAAATCAGAAAGTCTGAATTTTTTTCGAAGCAAAACTCTACAGTATGTAGATAATACAATCAAAATTGTATATGTATGTGAATACCTAATGGTAATCCTGTTGCTTGACTAATGCCTTTCATTTCATCACCATAAGGTGCTGGTAATGTGTCGGCCATAGCAGGCTATTTTAAAATAAAAATAATGTACTATAAGATAATATCACGTGTCGAATTACTAGCTTATCGTCAATAAGATCTAAGAGAAATTTTAGATTAGGCGAAATATCGATGAGGTAAGCTTTGAAGAAAGCAAGAATGTCGATAATCTATAAATAAAAACAAGTTATTCTCAAACAAGGAGACACAGTAGACAGATAGAAATAGATTACTTCACTCTTGAATGCAGTTGCAACTTGATTCCAACGTTCCATAGGTGGATCATCCAAATTGACAACATAAGTTGGTACAGCTCGTTCGGGCTTTGGCGGCCATTGGTCATCTAAACATTGTTCTCCGAACTATCAACAAAGAAAAACAAAGAAAAACTTCAACGAATTTCAATTTTATCATTTACAATTCCTTGAACAGCTAGAAATATAAGTAGAAGTGAAATAATTTTGTTTAACATCGTCAGGACGAACTTTAGAAGAGCAAACGACGAAAAGTGTTTTGTCTTGTCAGTGTGAATTTAAATATCTAACTGTTTGCATTAGATAAGCGCTATTTGCATATGACATAGGCGAAAGAGACTTTGCACATAGATAAGTATAAGAAAATATAAACTGACCTATCGTCACATTACTATACTTCTTGTTTTCAAATGAGTTGTGTATTTATTGTGAGTCTTGAAATATGACACTCTGTCAAATAGCTATGCTCGAAAGAGCAACAATATTGATGACGGCAAGTTTTCTCATCTGTCATTCCTTCATTTTATGAAAATCCTCGAGAATATTTGATCTATTTTCAAAACACACTTGTTCATGAATTGAAATATTCTTTACTGACATCTATATATTCAGGAAAGATTCATGTTCGGTATCTTCTCGTTTTTCAAAGAATTGTGACTTTTTTATCTTTGAATATTGTGAATTATAGTTTGCCAATGCACATGAGAAAAAGACATATGAACTACAGCTTTCATCACGGTATTGCGAACAACTCTCATTGTGCGTGTCGGTCGTTCGTGACAATTTATTTTTGATTATCGATTTGTTGCTTATTAGCATAAGATTCAATGGTCAATGTCAATTAGGTTTCATGTAAGACCAGAGTTTTCCCTAAACAGTAGATTCCTTTTTAAAGTTTTAAGCATAAATATGTCAAGCATCATTGAAATTCAGAGTGCCCCGAAATTTCGCCGTAAAAAATGTGAATATATTCTAATCATTTTAAGAAACTTATGTGATTTTTTTTCAATGGTAATAATCTTATGTTTATTGAAACTTTATTTTATTTATTATGTTTCTGACAAGAGGAAGAAGGCGTTTAAAATATTTCACTTGGATATAGTCAAAGTTGAAAGAGACATCTTATTATCAGATTTAGTTGATTCGTGTTGAAAGACTTGTTGAAAACTTCGCTTCGGATGTAAAATTGTCCAAGTGAATTGTGCTACTATGACGGGCGTAAGTTCAAAAATATAAAACCAGAATTCTCGTTGGTTCACTCCAATATTATACTTGGGCACAGATGTAATAAGAAGAAAAATGGCAACAATTAAGCAAGTAATACTCGAAATGAGTAAAAGAACGATTCCTTGTTTTTTCATATCTTTTATTGTTATACTCAGAAACCATATTGGATAAAATAAGACGGTTATGCAAAGAACGATGGCTGCTGATGCTTGTAGCAGTCGAAAACTTTTATCTATTGTACTGGGATCGAAGGATAATGATCCAGATAGTCCCTTAAGAATCGCAGATATTATTATGCTTAAAAATGCTCCGATGTAAATTATTCGAGAGAGAGGAGATTTGGCTCCACGAAATTGAATGATAAAATCGTAGTTGGCCATAATAATGGTGCGTTGTCCGATAGCTAGTAGAACCGTAGAGACTGTCGATGCAGGTCTTGAGTTTTGTGTGCTGGGAGCAAGTGCCGCGCGAAGTATGAGCGCGATGACGATGGTCACATGAGAAATCAGCAAAAGAATATTGAGGCGCAATGGTCGAAAGTGCAACTGAATTGATTGAACAATCCATATAATAAGAGAGACGCCTACAAGAGAGGCAATTATAGCGGCGGCCGGTTGACTTGGTTCGTACGATGCATACGTATGCTTGAAGATGTTGGTCATAATACTAAATTAGATAAAATACGAACTGTTGTTGTTAAAAATTCAGAGTAACCATTTCTATTCGACAATATCTAATGGAAATTTGCTTATCAACGCTGTAGTGTAATACTATAGGCGTCCTGAAATGTTGCATACAATATCAGTGTCTTTTTTTGTATTTCTGCAAACCACCTTATCTAGTGAATTCTTCTTATGGCCTTATCTTTTTTCTCTAGTCTTATACACTATACAAAGAGAAGCATGTTATAAGGATCCTCTGATAAATTTTTATTAACTTTATAAGCAACAAAAGGCGAATGAAAGGAGATATGAAGGATATGGTCTGACATATAACACGACAACGCATAGTCAAGTATGATCAAGATACCATTTTACTACTAAGCAAAAAGAATAATTCTGTGTTTCTTCGTAGTACTGCCTATCTCTACGCTCATTCAATTTCCTTTTTACTATTTTTACTTTGTATAAATGCTGATGTTATTCCATACTAAAGGAAACAAAATATATCATACTTATCTATAAATAGAAATAAATTGTACTTCTTTATCAAAACAATCTAGCCATTTTGTTGTAAATCATCTGAACTATATCAATCTTTAGTTAGTAAGAAAATGATGAGCTAAAAATAAGAACATTACGCTCCAATAACTTCAAGAAAAAGATAAGTATATAAATAGATAAAAAATTGTTTTACGAAAAATTAACAATGACCAATAGGATGAGTACTCATTGTGAATATGGTGCAGAGATGGTATATACTCACAATGACATACCAGGCTTGGAATCGGACCGGCCAGTTTTCACCGTTTTTTTTTCATCAACTTTTTCATCTTCAGATCTATAGTTCAAAACATATATATACTTTCTTAAGTTTCATTACGTTTTCATCGAAGTATCCAGCTGTTTTGACAAAAAATGCAAAAACGTAGTAAAACATCAGCAAAATTCCCTATTTTTTGTGCATGTAAATAAATGATTTCATTTGGTCAACATTAGAACACAATTAGAGAGCTATTTGCGTTGCATCTTGAACTATAGATCTGAAGTTCCTCTATCTAAATCAAAGGTCATAATCGAAACTTCATATGTATTGTATGTCACTTTCATGCATTCTTTTCTATATTTTTCAAAGATGATCAGTTTTAAAAGAATTTCGTCTGACACATTATCAGAGAAAAAGATATTCTAACTCCTCCTCTTTCGATTGGTGAAAACCGCAGGTCTCTAGCTCTTTGTTTTCTCGAATTATTCAAAAAACAGTCACACGCATGAACTTTTTAAACGGACTATAATAGAAATATGTTTTTCTTAAATAATTGTCTTTCTCGAGTTATCCAAACAAATCATAAATATAATAACAATCTTTTTTAATTTATCAATCGGATTCAGTTTTTATTAGCAATAAACATGGTAGAACGTCTAAGACCATTCGTGTAATTATATATATTTCATCGTAGTTTCAAGTATCTTTGTATACTGCTTGGTACTCCTGTGGTAGTGAAGTACGTTTTTTCCCTTATGTTGTCTCCTTGAAATATTCCTGAAAAGAAATCTATAATGTGTCAGAAATTTTTCACTTTACGAATTTTTTATTAGTATAATATGGCTGAAGAACGTATGTGAGTTCTACATTTTAGTATCCAAAAGACCGAGCTAACCAGTTTTTCAATCTCATTGTGCCATTTTTCATCTGTACACTAAAGCCAACCGAGCACTGTCGTCATCAAACTGCAATGACAGCGGCCATTTTGTACGTATTGTGGCTCTCTTCTACCGACTTGTTTTTTTTCTCATGTTGCAGAAGAATACAGATAGGTATGCGCATGTATGTATCTCAATGTTTAATAGTGCGTGACCAATGTACAAATCATACCACGTAGTTCTTTGCTATTATCATTTATTTATTTATTTGTTTATCGTTTTTTAGGATTATCATGGACATGTCTGATCGAAAGGATTTTAGATCTACGTGAGTTGAATAATCCATTTTACTATGAGAATGTTTGTTTAAAACATTTAGGTATCTTTGTAAAGTTTATAATTGACAAATTCTCACACTTCTCGATTTATATTGTTCTTCTTATTGACAAACCTTGCAGAGCCAGGAAATATACTGACGTTACGTTGATTTTGAGTCTTTTTTGGTTGAATTGAGTTTTCTAAGGGTTTTCTCTTGCGTTGACAGAGAGCTTAGTAGAACTCTCAAAATACATGCTTTCTAATTGTAGATAGATCCATGAGCTTTATAACGATTTCTGGAAATTGTGAAATAGTCGCTTATTGTAAATCATATTGGATTTTTTCAATGTTGTGTATATAGTTCGATAGACTTTCGAAGTAATCTAATACCTAAGACAATGTGATTGTTCGACTTATCGTTCGTTAGATTTTTTCGAATCTCTAAGAGGCATTGGACAATAGAGATGATCAATCCTTCTCAACGAATGTCGTCAATATAAAATGAAATTTTGTTTGAATGTAGGCCTCGCACTACATACGAGCTTATCTCATATGATGAAAGTGTACATGTTCATCAGAGTTTAGAGAAGACATAGATAGCTGCCGTTACATGCGTTCACATTGAAACATGAATTATAGAACTAAAGGATTACTCACTTCTAAAGTTCCGCTTTATAGATGAGCTTGTAAACAATGAATATAATACTGTCGCCTCAAAATTTAAATATTGTTTGAAAATGCAACAGAGAATATGGATTTCTAAACAAATATTATATACTTTTACTCTGATCTATTTGAAAGTAAGAAACTGCAACGGAAATGTTTCGATAATATTCAATTAAAATAGTTAGAGTTTTATTAAACTTCCGTTAATATTGTTGAGCATCACAATTCATAACACTTTAAAATTGCTTTTGGCTAAAATATAGTTTGTTGAATTCTATATCGAATGATATGCAAAAGAACTATCAGCTATTACATACTTAATGTTGAAAAGCTCCTTATATAATTATATATAATTACATATGGCAAGATTTTTTTTATTCATTTTCGAATGGAAGATGGTAGGATGGCTATTACTCATCATTCGAAAAGAATGAAGCTCAGAAAAGACAGTGCGTCTCGACTGAGATTCAAACAGGTAGCATCACAAGTAATAACTAGTCAGATGCTTTTAACAACTAAGCTTTCGAGACAGTTTTAACTCATATTCCAATTTAAGGTGAGCATTCATTTTAATTCTTTCGAGTAATATTACGAATGGAGACTTCGTTGTACGAAGGTTAACTTTAATCGACGTCGATAATCAAAGATTTAAAAATAAGCCCGTTTGTTGCAATTGAATGAAAGCATATATAATTATATATAAT